GTCCAGCGACATAGCCATTACACTAACTGCTGGTTCCCATGGGACCACATTTTATAATTGGTTTCAGAAACAAAAAAATACTACCACGGTAGACTTCCAATGCTTTCGTGTTTTAATAACCATAGGTTATAATTTCAGTTTTGCTTGTTATGGACTTCTTGTGACTGTTTAATGATCAATAGGAGGGATTTGTTTTCTAGTAACTGTATGGAGAGATGTCTTGAATTACACAGGATTTTATAGTTATGTGTTCTCCCTCGTTGATGTTTGCACTGTATGAAACCCATAGTTAACACAAAAGAGAAAAGCAACCTGTCTGATTGCTTATAAGCTTTTTTCCACAAAACAAAATAAAAATCTCTGGTTAATTTGGAAAAAAAAGTCACGCAATATCACTTATATTGCTGCAATTTATTAGTGACAAGATAATTAGAAACTTAAGTGTTTCAAGGAGAGACTAGTTAAACCCTAATCCTTGATTCTAGAAGAGCATGTAAATCGAGAGATATTTTGTGGCCTTCTTTGGAAAATACATTTTTATAAACCCTTAGATACTTTTTCTATATATCACTTACGATTTGGTTCAGATGCTTAGAAAAGAAAATTCAAATGATAGAAACCTCAACAAAGAAGAGATGCATTTTTCTCTCATGTCGAAGTCCTTCAGTGGTAGGCAGCCCTGGACTGGTATATGTTCATACTCATCATGGACACCTTTTTGCCTACTATTTTCTGTGAGCAGTTTCTTTTTCTTAACTTTTATAGTTAGCAGTAAGATAGCTACTACAGCTCCAGCCATTGCATCCATGTTCCAGGGAGCAGCAAAGAGAAATAAGAAGGCACACAGGGCTGTCAGCTGAAACAATCACCTTTGTAAGGTTTTCCTAGAAGTCCCATGCAATGACTTCTAGCTAGATTTCATGGGTAGCTTGGCACATTGCTCCATCTGAAATACAAACGATGCCACAGAAGATAAAGGGGAGAATGGATGTTGGGTGAACAGCCAACTGTACCTGCCACCATGACATTCTACCTCTATTTCTTGGGCTCCATGCTTGAGACACAACTTGTCTTTGCAACCTGTAGGGTCCCCAGGCTACTCCTGGAAGATGAAGCACAACTTCCTCCTCTGGAAGCGTGCCAGTGTTGCTGGAATTCCCAGATAAGGGTCCAGGGCAGAGGTACCTTTCTGAGGAAGCTTTACCGAGAAAGCAACACTTAGCTCCTTTTCTTGAACTGATGCCTTTTTTCAAAGATGACTTCTAAGCCCTGCTTGTGGGAAACATTGATCACTTGCATTTCCATGAGCTCTTTCAAAATTGCTTATGTAGTAAACTCTATGCCTCTTTTCCTTTGGGCTTAACTTTTGCTACTTAAAGCCAAGATTGTAGAATTTAAAAATAAAACAAAACAAAACCCAAAAAACTTTGATCTCTCCTAACTGTATAATTTGATCCTTTGTTTTTCAAGATGACTATGTCTGCCATGAACTTTAAGAGTTCATTCAGAAACAAACAAACAAACAAAAAACATCTCTTCAGCACATCACTTGATTCCCTTTTCTTTCCTGAGTGTAGCCTCATGAGACAATATAGGCAGAAAACTCTCTGTTGCCTGGCATGGGAGCAACTAAGCCCATGAGAGGGGAAAGGAGCTGTGGGTAATGCATGAACATACAAAGTAATATAAGTGGAAAGGCAATACAGTGAAAGAGACCAAGAAGTGCATGGAGCAAAGAATTTGGACTGGGGAACAGGACAGAGACCACAAGGACAGAGTCTTTGAAAGGTATGGAGGCCAGAGAAAAGGTGAATGGCATTGAGCCTGAAGAAACAGCTTATTAGAAGGGGCCTGTTAGGTTGCACAGTACAAAGAAAGCCTGAGAAGTTATTCTTCTGTTTTGTTATTATTATTTTTTTGGGAGAGGTTTTTGCTATAGAGTGTGTGCACTTGCCAGAAGGACAGAGAGAGACAGAGAGACAGAAAATGAGAAATCACACCCTGGCGGGGTGGGGGTGGTCGCCATGCCACAGTCCCTTCTCCTCCATTCTCCTCTAGGGATCTTGGGGACACATGCATATACACCTGGTGTGAGTTTAAGCCACTGGGTTTGGGATTTGAACTGCGATGGACTACATGGGAGTCCAGCGACATAGCCTTAACGCCAACTGCTGCTCCCTGTTTTGTTATTATTTAAGGTCAGGGTCTCACCATATCACAATACTCCTCCCTCAGCCTCCCAGCTGAGACTACAGGTGCATACCACTACCCCTGACTCTTTAGACAAGTCTGCTCTGAGCTTAGAATACACCTGCCTCGGCCTTACCAGTCACTAGGAGGGGACTTCAGAAAGTTCATGAAAAAATGGATTTAAAATATGAGTTTATTTTGGTGCAAATTATTTGAATCATAGTTTTTTTTTAAATAATAAGCATTTATAATATCATATAATAACCCCTCACAATTTCATGATACACCTCAGGCTGGACCAAGACACAAAGCTGGGCCTCTGTGTGATCCCAGCCTGCAGAGCAGAAGATCTTAGCAGTGGACCTTCATGGCTGGGCCCAGATTGATTGATTTATTGACTGAGCAGAATTAAATAGAGTAATGCATTTGAAAGCAAGTGCAATATTTGTGCAATAAAACTACTTTGGGCCTGACTCTGTACAGGTGATGTGGTGCTCAAGCGAAGCCAGATCCCACATGGCAACTACAGTTTGAGTCCTCAGCCTGGTCAGCCTGAAATAGAATGGATATGTTTTTTTTGTTTTGTTTTGTTTTCCTTAAGAGATTTTTTGCTCTATGGTGCATATGCTTGCCAGACAAACAGAGAGAGACAGAGAGACAGAAAGTGAGGAATCACCCCCCAGGGAGGATGGCCACGCTGCAACACCTTCTCCTCCAGTCTCCTTTTAGAATTTTGGGCATGCACACACATGCACCCAACATGAGTTTTAAGCCATGGGGTCCAGGACTCAAACCACGGTAAACTACGTGGGAGTCTAGTGACGTAACTACTACATCAACTGCTGGTCCCTGATATGTGCTTTTAGGTGCTCCAGATCTGAGGGGATGGAGGACTGGAGGAAGAAGATCTTGGTAGGAATAGACCCTATGGAGGGTGATCATCTTTCTCTTCCTCTCTGTTACATTTTCATGTGTACATGCTTGCATGTATCATGGATAAAGGAGAAAAAATGTTGGAAGACAATTTGTCATAATCAACAGTATTTATTAATCATTGGCTTTGTTTGGGTTGCATGCTAACCCTAAGACTTCAAAGGTGAAAATACCTTTACTATGACCTTAAGGAGTTTAGTAGTGTTTTAGTGGAAATAGATACACATATAACATGCTACAGTATCATTTTTTTTTGAGAGATTTTCGCTATAGGGAGCGTGTGCTCACCAGACAGACAGAGAGAGACAGAGAGACAGAAAGTGAGAAATCACCCCCCAGGGGGGATGATCACGCCGTAATCCCTTCTCCTCCATTCTCCTCTTGGGATCTTGGGCACGCACGCACACGCGCCCGGCGTGAGTTTTTTAAGCCACCGGGTCCGGGACGCGAACCACGGTCGACTACGTGTGAGTCCAGCGACATAGCCATTACGCTAACTGCTGGTTCCCCAGTATCATTTTATCAGTGCTACGAAGAGGTACAAGACATGGTGAACAGAGGAATGGATTCATCGACCATGTACTTACTCAAAAAGTTCTTTCCTGCCTCCATGTGACAGGCTCTGGGGCACCTTTGACAGGGGTTCACTTGATGTTACTGGGGATCGGGGGGGAAAGTAAAGCAGATGTTATTTCCGAGCTCTTTGAACTTACAGCCTAGCAATGAAAGAGGAGCTCGGTCAGATGTAGAGTCTAGGCTGAACTCACATTTATATCCTGTTGCAAAATCAGGGCTATAAAAGTGGAAATTTGGCTGTTAATATTTTAAAACATGTAATAATTGCTGTATTTGAAAAGAACCTTAACAGCTTCCTTGAGAAAATAAAAATGAGCACTATGTGAATTACAACATTTCCAGACTTTCTTTGGCTGGCATAACACCAAGAATTCAAATGAGAGGGCTATAAAATGAGTAGATAAAAGCGTGTTCCAACAAGAAAAATTCAAAAACCAATTTTGGAGATTTTTCTTTCTCTCTCTCTCTCCCCCTTTCTCTCTCTTTAATAGTCAGAGGCAGTGTGATTGCCAGAAAGAAACAAAGAGAAAGAGAGAGCAGGAGAGGTAGAAAGCACCCCCCAATGGGCCATAGTTACACCATGATCCCTTTTCCTCCATTGGAGATTTTGTTACTTTCTTTTTTTCAGTACATGTATATTATAACACAAGTAAATGCAACCTCTTTTTTCCTCTCCTGTTAAACCAAAGCATCTAAATATTGAACAGTATTTTATCTTTCTTGCTTTTTTCTGAAATTAATAATTAACATTCATGTGTTTAAGGTCTCATATTCACATATTCTCAAACCTGTGTTAGATCTGTGATGTGGGGCCAGCTGATGGCATGGTGGTTACGGCAGCCAGATCGCACATGGCGAGCTGCGTGGTTCAAGTCCCAGACCTAATGGCTTGAAAAATACTGGATTGTGTGCATGCGTGCCTAATATCCTGAAAGGAGAATGGAAAAGGGTTTATGGCATGGCCATCCCCCCTGGGGGGGGTGTTTCACTTTCCCTCTTTTTCTCTTTGTCAGTCTCTCTGGTGAGTACATGTACCCTGTATCAAATTAAAAAAAAATCTGCAACATGAATTTTCATTTGTTCACTTGACTAAAGGGTTCATAATTCTGTTGGGAGAGTTATGTCCATCCATCTTTAGAACTGTAATAAAAATGCCAGTGTGGATGTCATAAAGGTTAGATTGAATATATTGAGGCTCATCATGTTAAGACTTCCATTTCTGTTTCAGAGAAAGCTTCCATCAGCTCAATCTGAGTGGAACAGACCAATCAACTAACCTGCCGTGTTCAACTGTCTTGTAGGTCCTTCATTCCTTTACTGATGCCATCTTTGATGAGTGGATGAAAAGGTTTAAGCCCCCCGCAGATGCCTGGCCTGAAGAGCTGGCACCCATTGGTCACAATCGGATGTATAACATGGTTCCTTTCTTCCCTCCGGTGACTAATGAAGAACTCTTTTTAAACACAGACCAACTTGGCTATCGCTATGCCGTTCATCTGCCAGGTAACTAATACAGCATCTAAATGGGTAATTCATTCAACTCTTACTACAGCATCTAAATGGGTAATTCACTCAACTCTTACTACAGCATCTAAATGGGTAATTCACTCAACTCCTACAGGAGCTTGCTTTCTTTCTCTTTGGTGTAAATTGAGACCTGTAATTGAAGCATTCAGATCTAGCTAAGTTTACTGGCCATTTTCAAAAATATATGTATTCAGCAAAATGTGTCTTTTATCAATTAGACATCAGAAAGGGACTAGTTAGTTGATTGTTGTTTTAGAAAATAAAAAAGTAATCTAGAGACTTTATCCCACAGAGAAATTGCCTATTATACCTCATTTGACAATTCTATCTGAGTTAGTCAGATTAAAACCACTACATGGTTGTTAGAGATGTCTAGCCAATACAGTCAGAATAAACTAGCCACATTGGACACGTACTAGCCAAACTTAGAGATCCTGACTTGTAGGCAGACCTGGGATTAGAGTGAGGCAAGTGTGGTATTTGCCTAGAGCATGAAATTTAATGGAGACCAAAAAACTTAATAATCACATTAAGTAATTATATGCTGCAATTTTAAAACATCAAAATTAATGCAAAAAATGATGAATAATGCACTATAAAAGTGTGAAATAAAGACAGATGGTTGTTTGTTTGTCTTAGACACCTGCACTAGTTTGTAACTGGATCAGTTGTTTCCAGTGAGCCTGTACCCCACCGGCTGGGCAGGTTTATGATGGGTGACGTTGGCCAGTCAACAGATTGGTCGACATGGGGCCTTATGTGTATTTTTAAAATGATTATTTTGAAGTCATGTTTTAAGATTGTAGATTTTTATTAAGTTTTCTCACTTGGTTCAAAAGATGGGAGGATATCTAAGGGCACACATTTTCCTTTTGTGCCTAGGCCCCAATATGGCTCCATATGCCATTTAAAGAATCTCGGGGCAGGTTGAGAAGAAAAGACAAAACAATAAAAAAGCTTAATACATCAAGAAGCTGTAAAACACACAGCTGATCTGCTGATAAATTTTAAATTTTATCTTCCATTTCTATTTTAGCTTTTCTAAATCTCAGCATACAAAGACATCAAGATGTTGTATGAGCTCACCTCTCTCTCTCTGACACCAGTCTTTAAGGCCCTGGAGCCATCTCCTGCTTTTCCTTCCACTCTGCATCTGCTACTTCTTGTTTTCCATACTGATTTCAAGTTTTATTTCTTCTTCCTTTTTAAAAAATTTGTTGTGGGACACATGCACTCACTCGAGAGAGATAAAAGAGACAGAGGAACAGTGAGAAGACACCTCTCAGGAGGCTTGGCCATGCCTCAATCCCTACTACTCATTTTTTCTGTCAAGATTTTGAGCATTCACACACATGTACCTGGAGTGTTTTTCAAGCTGCTGAGTCTGGGACTTGAACTACATAGTTGGCCATGTGGACTTTAGCTGCCCCAACCACCACATCACTGGTTGACTCTGAAGCTGTTTTCTTTAGATAGCTGAGGATCTCTCTTAAACTTCTATTTCTCTGGCATTAATATTGGCTCTTTGGAAAAGTCGTGATGCATTTTTGCATTAAAAAACATAAAAAAATAAATTATAATTTTTTGATGACCAAAGAAGAAGAATTTAGAATGATCATTTCCACTATGTTTCTATCTCCTCCGATAACAATCATTTAACAGGAATAATAAGAGTCCCAAATATACCTAAAATGTGTTAACTCATTATAAAATAAAAATTCATGTTCATTTATTGGTTTGGTAATGGAATTTATAATTCCGTCTAGAGGAAATGTAACTATAAACAATAGGGGAGGAACATTTTTTCCTCTGTATTCTTTTAGGTTCATTGACTGGTGTTCTACAAATTTACAAATTATATTGACAAAAAACAGGTGAACAGGAGAAAAGGCATACTCCATTTATTAGATACTAACTTTTTCATGACATGGAGGCCTTCTTAGTAAAGAAATGAAGGCACAAAGACATGAATAGGCCTGTGAGCTTATATTCCATTTTAAATGAAGGATAACAAATTGTGGAGATAAGACAAAAGAAAGGGGACTTAGTCTTTCGGAAGTGGCAAACTGTGGTAAGGCAGGGGAAAAGGAGCGGAGGATGATGGCTATCTTAGCAAAGCTTGTCTGCACAGATCCACCTCAGTGCTGACTTCGCCTTCATCATAGAACTTCCCCAAGAAGGCAGACTTATGACAATCCTTACTTCCCAAGAGGATTTGTTTTTAGTCAGTTCGGGGAAGCTTTGGGAATGCTCCTTTCTGCATCCATTGAATGTCAAATGCCTTCAGCTCAAACCCATCCTTATGCTTAGGAGCTGTATTTCAGGGAGGCGTTTTCTGATCCCTTTCCAGTCAAAGATTGGAGAAGGAGTGAAGGAACTAGGAAAGAGATGTGTCTTGAGCTAGAGTAGGAGAGATTGGTAGATATCAGGTAAGTGTCACATAGTTTTTGATTGGAGAAGGAAAGGGCAGAAAAGTCAGTGAACACACGGCTACGTAGAGGGCCATGAGAAGAATGCCTGATTGTAGTAGGAGGATTACCACGAATTAAGGTTAGATCTGTGAGAAGGCCTGACTATGGAGGACCTTAAAAGCTAGGAGGTAACCCCAGTAACACCATCTCACACCCTAAGATAGCTAGTATCAGAAAAGCATGAAATAGCAAGTGTTGGTGGAGATGTGGAGAAATTGGAACTCTTGTGCATTGCTGGTGGGAATGTAAAATGGTGCAACCACTATAGAGAATAGTCTGGTGGTTCCTCAAAACCTTATATGTAGAATTGCCGTACGATCCAGCAGTTACATTTCTGAGTAAATAGCTAAAAAAACTGAAAGCAAGGTCTCAAAGAGGTATTTATACACTAATGTTCATGACAGCATTAGTCACAATAGCCAAAAGCTAAAAGCAACTCGTGTCTAAATATGGATGAATAGATAAATAAAATGTATTAATAGTATGCTAATACAGTGGACTATTATTCAGCCTCCAAAAGGAAGAAAGTTTTCGTACATGCTGTAAAGAATCTTGTGACATTGAACTGAGTAAAATAAAGGACACATGTTGCATGATTTCACTTATGTGAGAATAAATACAGAACAGTAAAGTTTTATAGAGACAGAGAAGAGCCTAGAGGAGGGAAGAATGGAGAGTTACAGACTAACAGGTATAATGTTTCAGTTTTACAAGATGAAAAAGGTTCCATGGATGGCTGGTCACACAACAATGTGAATGGACTTAATACCACTGGATTGTACACTTAAATAAAGTTAAAATGAAAAAGTTTTTATGTTTATATTGTTAGGTTTATATTTCCACTTAAAATTGACAATTAAAAATGATTTTTAAAAAAGGCAGACAGAGGATTTGGATAACAACAAAAGGCAATCATTTCTTGTTCATGAACTGAGAAATGGCACAATAAAATTCTTATTTTAAGAAGATGAAACTGGCAACAGGTGCTGTTAGGTTGTAGAGGAAGAGTTGAATTAAAATTTCTTGGAAGAATCATATCAGAACAGGTGGGATTAGAGGAAAGAGACTAGAAAGAAGATCTTCTGTTTAGATGAATGTAGAGTGTAGGACAAGAACCAGTTCTGAGAGTTCTGAATTTAGGAGCAGCTGGCCAAGAAAAGGATAACTTTTTTAAATGACAAGTATAAGTATACTGGGACCAGTAGTTGGTGTAATGATTATGTCACTGGACTCCTATGTAGTCGACTATGGTTCAAGCCCCGGACCTGGTGGCTTAAACTCACACCAGGCCTGTGTGCGTGTGTGCCCAAGATCCTGAGAGGAAAATGGAGGAGAAGGGATCGCAACATGGCCAACCCCCATGGGGGGTGATTTCTCCCTTTCTGTCTCTCTGTCTCTCTCTGTCTTTCTGGTGAGTACATGCACCCTACAGCAGAAACCTCTCCAAAGGAAAAAAAAAGGAAAAAAGAAAATAAAGAATAAGTATACTAAAAAGGAAATTCATTAATATTTTGGAAGAGCAGTTAAAATGTATTGGAGTAGAGGACTGGATTTATCATGAAGAAGATTCCGATTTTATTCACAACTATTTAAATGGTACAAATATCATCTGCTTTTGTTATCAAATGTCTCTTATTATAATACCCAATCTGATCTTCCTTACACATTTATCATCCTATTACAAAAGGTAGAGACAATAGCAGAATTTCTCCATCTGAGGGTTATATATTTTGCAGTACCCCTGATACCATTTTAGTCTGCACTTTTACAAATGAGTTTCTAACTCAACAAAAGTAGTTTTATACTTCCTTGGAGGGTTTATTCTGCATAAGCATTTATTCAAACAAATTTTTAAAATGGAATAAGCTATATTTAAATAAGGGACTGTCCTTTTCAACTTCTTTAAAAAAACAAAAACAGTTGTGGATATGATAAATAGTTGGTGAGGAAGGAAAAGATAAATTTTATTCCAGCAAGAGTAATTTTGCTTTATCAACAAAAATGTATGTGAAAGGTAAATAAATTTATTTTTTTCCTTTTCGAAGAGTGCTCAGTGGATGAAAATCCTGAATGTAATATTTCTCTTCTGTTTAATTTCAGTTGAAGAAACTCCAGGTTGGAACACAACCATCTCAGTGGTTATAGGAATGCTGATGGCTTTGGTTGTTTTTTTGGTGCTACTTGTCTTTCTTCAATATAGAAGACTTCAAAAAGGATATACACCCCTAATGGAGACACATTTAAGTAACAAAAGATACACGGAAGAATCCTATGGTGCTTGTGCCTTACACTAGAGAAGAGTCCAGCCAGCCCTAGTTCCGACCTTGACGATAAACAAACTCATCTCACTGTTCTTCCTATAGTTGAAGGTCATTGGTATGGGTCCTCCTTTGAGGATTATGGGGAGAATTATCCCCAATACAGAAGATGCTGAATTGTAGTTTATGGTTTGCTTGCTTGTTGAACCAACATAAGCCAAAGTGCTTATCTATCTTTATCATGAAATAAGAGTAGAGCTGACAATTTGTGGTATCTGAAAACAATTTCCTCTATTGATTAAAGCTCCTCCTGTTCTGAAAGCACCAACCCCCCCCCCATTGTTTTGTTGATCAAGTAGATTTATTTATATTTGCAGCTTGGAATTATTTGATACTTGGACAAGACCATAGTTCGATCTCTCTTAGCCCAGGTGTCTTCTTTTGTAATGGCAGGCACTTGATCAATCTTCAAGTCCCTTTTACCTATAAACATCTATACTTCTGGGTGCCCTCCTTGGGCTTCTCTTCTTTTCTGTGTCTTTTTCCTCTCAAGGCTTGAATATGAAAATAGGCTTTATTTTCTATGTAGGATGGAAAATAAATAAAAGATCTATTTTTCAACGAGGCCACAGAATTTATTAAAAATTTTTGAAGTTTGTAGTAGTCAACCTGATTCAGTAGCTGGATAAACATTGATCGGATAGTAATAGGATAACATCCTGTCATTCTTTTTGTAAAATAAACAGATAAAGGAATACAATTATAGAGCTTCTTAGTTAATTAATACTGTTCTAAACCTGTTAATCAGCATGGAATCTTGAGGAGCTGAAGGGCTGGGGAAGAGGATTACAATGTCATGAGACCCTGCCAAGGCTTCCAGTGTGAGTGTCCCTCCCTCTTTCCAGGGGAGACTAACTGGGAAAGCAGGGCAAGCTCTAATCCTGAACATGAGATAACATGATTTGAGTCTCATTACTCAGAGATCTTATCTGGCCGATCTGGAACCAATTGCTTTACTAGGCATCCTCAGATGAAAAAATTATGTACATAGAATGCATTCAGCTTATTTTTAAATTAACTCTGGATTCATTAATGCTGCATGGTACTATTGCATATTAGCACTAATCAATTAAATCTTAGCACTTGGGAAGCAAACCAGATGTAAAAATGTGACAATTCACAATTTAATGGTAATGTTCTATTAGGTAATCACCAGATCACAAAAAATAAGAAACAGCAACCTTTATTGCAGTGTTCAGACTTACCATGATGCTCCCCACTTCTGAGAAGGTAATAGTCACTGAAATTTCAAGACAAATTTTATCTACTCATCTTTGGCATCAATGCATCAGGAGTGAGGCCAAAGGTCTAGAGTGAGACCTGTCTGTCGACTCCTTTGGTCCCCTCTCTCCTGAGATGAACATGTAAAGAATGGGTGTCAAGAGGACGGTGTAGCTACGTTCGACCTATGAGGGGCCTAAAGGGTGCACTCTTCACCAAGAACCAGTGTTATCCTCTGGAATTGGACTGCTGAAGCCAGAGAAATGGACAAAGCCCAGATGGAACTGAATTGGAGTTTGAGTCTCATAAAGTTACAGGTGTATCTGACAGGAGGCCCAGTGATGAGAATCAAGGTGTCCAGAGGCCTTCATGAGGGGAAGCCCTGCTGGGGCTTTTCAGACACAGTCACATGTGTGGACCTCAGTTTCTGCCATCAACAACATTTGTAGAAAGTACAGCAGTGTATCATTACTCGATCCATTCTGGGTGCTTTATACTCTGAGCTGAGAATGGTGGGGAACACATTTTTATAACCTGTTTTAAGGCAAAAGAGAACTATATTAAAATGAAGATAAAGTAGTTCCTGGTAGATAGGTTCCTGAAAAGTTAAATATAAATCAATTACATGTTAAAAGCACCAGGGGAAAGTACTTTTTATGGATGAACTATTATGAATAATTCCATAAACCAAATAACCACCTCTAGCTTATCTTTTAGGTATATCAGAATTTTCACAAGATTTCGTTCAAGCAAGATCTATCTGAGGTAAAAATAAATAGTGATCATGTATATTTAGCTAGTTCTAGTTCTAGCGTGTGTGTCTTTTTATAAACATTATGGTTTATAACATCTTCCTAAAAGAAATGATGTCCTAATTTTGTAGTTCATATAAGAGGAATCTAATTTTCTAGTGTTTTTTGACTTTATGATAAATCAATTAAGGAATGCCTTTTAAGAAATCTGAAGATAGGATAAACATAAAGACTAAGAAGTTGGTATTTACTTACATGGAGTATAATGCAAATAAACTCAGAAAATGTCACTGAGCATAGTGGGGCTATATTTCTCAATGATGGGGGGGAAATTCAATCTTGAAGAAAATGAACATAACAATTTATATGCTTAAATACTCAGTGTTGGAAAAATTGTGTTACATGAATTGTGATTTTAATAGAAATGCTTTTATGAAGATAACACTTAGAAGTAAATGGAGCCCAGTATCATCTTTCTTTTGTGAATCAAATTCCCTTCTAATTCTAATTCTTGACATTAATTTGTATCTTGCTTAGGATTTAGTTACAATACTTCTGATGTGTGAATTTAATCTCACATTAACAAGAAATATAAAACATTTTACAGAAGAAAATAAAAATAAATGTTGTTTTGCAAATGATTATCTTTTGGGAGTTATTGTTTTTTAATTTGTATGCATCGATTCCCACTCAACATATGTATATTGAAATATATAATAGGAGGAAACTTCAAGAGGTTCAAGGAAAAAATGGAATTGTTTTGGTGCAAAACTTTGAAATTCATGCAAAATTTCTCTGTAATGTGCATTTTCCACAAATTTTTGAAGTCCACCTGTATATACTCATGAAATATAAAATATCTTATTTATTTCTGAGAATTAGTTTATAAATGAATATTCTAATTTCTTGTGACTTTCTAAGCAATTACTATGTCTAGGGTCAGCTCGTGGTGTAATGGTGGTGGCACAAATGGGCCCACATGGGAAGAAAGGGTCCTGGATTTCTGTTCTGGAACCTCCCTGGCCACGTCCTTGTATGTGCTGACTGGGACTGAGGGTAGGTGGCAGAATGGTGACCCTTATGGAGTGCCTCTTTCTTTCATGGAAAAAATATAAGGAAAATAAACTTAAAAAAGAATAACATATCTAAAAAACGTACTACTTCCTGGATTCTAATTGGTTTCTTCCTTTCTTTTCTCTTTCTTTCTTTCTTTCTTTCTTTGTTCCTTCCTTCCTTTCTTTCTTTCTTTCTTTCTTCTTTCTTTCTTTCTTTCTTTCTTTCTTTCTTCTTTCTTTCTTTCTTTCTTTCTTTCTTTCTTCTTTCTTTCTTTCTTTCTTTCTTTCTTTCTTCCTTTCTTTCTTTTTTAATTGCCAGAGGGTGCATGAACTCACCAGAGAGAGACAGAGAGAGTATGTGATAGAGAGAGGGGGAGAGAGAGAGAGAGAGAGCGAGCACACCCTCTAGTGGGGTATGGTCATGCTGTAATCCTTTCTCCATTTCTCCATTCTGACAAGATTTGGGGGTTGCTCACACACATGTCCCTAGTGTGGTATTCAAGCCACCAGGGTTAGGATTCAAACTGTGATAAACCATGTGGAATCTGGATCTCTTAACCCCTAGGTTACTGGGTGGACCTTTTATTATATAGGAGGCAAGGGAGTTGCCAGTCTTTCCTCAAGGGAAGAATTATTATTGATATTCCTATAATCTAATGACTGATCCTGGGGTAGGGGTGAAGGGGCAACCTCAAGTCCCTGATCAAGAGGAAGGGTATTATAGCAGCAAATTTGCTAACCCTCTAGGTAGGCCTTCAAGATCAGCCTACTTGTTGGAGATCCCAACTCTAACTTCCTCCCCAGAAGGAAGTTAGAGTCATCGAGGTATTGGCTATATGGTGTTTGATGCCACATCTAGACTCGAAGTTAGAATTTGGGTTGTACACTGCTGTGTACAGTTTTGTTGTCAAAGCACCATGCCTTAAGTACTCAGAAAGTGTTGGTTAATGGATATAGGTGCAAAAAGAGCCAATTCAGCCATAGTAAGAGGTAATTACTTTCCCTAATGCAATGGCACAGCTCAGGGCTGCACTTTTCCAATTTCCCTTACTCATCCTGGGTACTCTATAAATATTTTTGAAATGAATAAATGAATGAACAAATTAATTTCAAAGTAGAACTTTTCATTCAGGGCCTCTGGCATATGTTTTAGCAGGTACTGTGTAAAACATGAGAGAGTGGAATCTTATATCCTTGCAATAAGATTGACAACCTATGGTTCAGATTTTTTTCTTCCTTTAGATTTTTGCTATAGAGTATGAGCACTTGTTGGAGAAAGAGAGACAGAGAGATCTGGAGGGAAAGTGAGAAATTACTTCCCAGGGGGAGTAATTGCCATGAGGCAATCCCTTCTCCTTTGTTCACCTCTTGTGATTTTGTGCATGTACAAGCACGCACTGGCATGATTTTCAAACCACTGGGTCTGGGACTCCACCTGCACTCAGCCATGTGGGACTCCAGCACCTTAACCACTACATTACCTGCTGACCCCTATGATTCAGCTTTTGAGTTGCACATAGGCTCAGTAAAATTTTATGCCAGGAACCTAACACAGGGATCCTTTTCAGCCCTATTTTCTTTCTAGATGCATCTCAGCCTCACTATTGTTAGGCCTTAATTCTGCCATTTACAAGGACTGAGAAAGAAAGTTAAGATTTCTACGCACCTCTCCCCTAAGCTCTCCTGCTTGTTGTTTTAGAGCTCTACACTGAAAGCCTAATAACCCGTTAGTGGAAGGAGTTAGGGGGCAAGTCATTTAGTCAGCAAACCAGTACTTTTCTCACATGCACAAACACAAGCAGCAGAAACTCCCCAAAGATGACTCAGTACTTTGATTTGATCTGTAACAGCAGTTCAAGCTGAAAATAACCCCTGTAAATTTAATTGTGCTTTGGCAGGTAGTTTAATGAAATTTTGAAAACAACACATAGGAAAATTGGGAACTATA